GGGGGGGGGGGGGGGGGGGGGGGGGGGGGGGGGGGGGGGGGCGGAGTGGTGCTGGGGAATAAATCTTGTATGAGAACAATCTTTAAGAGACTGGTATTGAATGGTGTCTTGCCCTTGGTAAGGACAGCTGGTTAATCTGAGATGGGATTAATCTGAGGTGACAGCCTCAGAAGAGTAAGCCCGGGTGTGAGGGACCCACCTGCCTGTCCCTATTTGTGACCTTTGTGATGGTCAGAACAATCACCACATACGAGGCCACTTCCCCTCCCCAGGAGAGCCCAGGCAGCACAACTGGCACTCTCGACTAGCATCTACCCTGCACTCCCATCATTTTTGTTTTTTTAAAGATTGTATTTATGTATTTGTCAGAGGGGGAGAGAGCGCACAAGCAGGGAGTGGCAAACATGAGGGAGAGAAGCAGGCTCCCTGCTGAACAAGGAACTGGACCTGAGGACCTGAGCTGAAGGCAGAAACCCAGCCAACCGAGCCACCTAGGCATCCCCATTTTTAATTCTTAATATTGTTCCCTAGCCGTGTGAAGACAAGTAGGTGCTTCAAAGGCTAATGAGACTTTAGGGAACAGGTTTTACTATTTTTAAATTTTTTAAGATTTTATTTATTTGACAGATCACAAGTAGGCAGAGAGACAGGCAGAGAGAGGAGGAAGCAGGCTCCCTGCAGAGCACAGAGCCCGATGTGGGTCTAGAACCCAGGACCCTGGGATCATGACCTGAGCAGAAGGCAGAGGCTTTTAACCCACTGAACCACCCAGGCGCCCCCTTTTTTAAAGATTTTATTTATTTAGGTAATAGGTTTTAAAAAGTAGCACCATGCTCCTCCTCTGGAGTGAGCTGCAGGGACAGCTGCTCTTTGGCCTTCGGCTGACCTCAGAAACTAGAAACACTTATTTCAGGCTTTGTCCCACTGGCCACTGTGGGCAGGAGTGGAAAACACCTGCCAGGTGTTGCCATTAGATCCACTCCGCCAACAGAAAACTTTTCTACAAGCTTTGCGGCTTAACAGTATAGCCCCCACCCAACCCTGCCTTCCCTCGGCGTCCAAACCTCAGCGCGTGTGGAGCGCCCCCTGTGCGCGAGGCTCGGGAACTGGCAAATGTGGGCAGCGCTGTGCTCCCAGGGCTCTCAGGCACTGTCTTCCCAACCGCCCTCCTGCTAGTACCTCTTGTTCCTGTTTTACAAATAAGACTGGCGGTCGAAAAGAACACCGGGCCGTGGGACAGGACACGTCCCTGTGGGTAACTGACCCTGTGACCTTGAGCAAGTCGCTAGCCCGGCGGGAGCTGAGCCCAAGTTCTCTCCCCCTCGGAACACCGTCCCAGCTCACGGTCACCAGAGCTCAGCCGCCCCTGGAAAAGGGTTTCCAGACCCCAATCAGTGGTTGGCCCGACCTGCGCCTAGAGCCGGAGGGCGCGGGGAGGAGCGGGCCGGAGCCAGCGTCCCGCCCCCGCCGCTGCGAACCCGGGGGCCGACGCCCGACACGGGTCGGACTGAACTACGGCGCCCGGGAAGGTCGTTCCGTGCTTCGCGAAGACGTCCCCTTCCGCCAATCACCGCTTGCGGCCCGCCCCTCTCGTCACCGGAAGCAGCTGTTGCCTCGAGCAACGACAACGTCCGGCTTTCCGAGTTGGCGGCGGGAAAAGCCATGAGTAAAGGCCGGGCGGAGGCCGCGGCGGGAGGTAAGCGGGGCGGTGGGCGCGGGGGAGTCCTGGGCGGGGGGGACGGGACAGGCGTTGGTTGGGTGACCCCCACTCCTGCCGCGTGTCTTCGTAGCCCCTGGGATCCTCCTGAGGTACCTGCAGGAGCAGAACAGACCCTACAGCGCCCAGGACGTGTTCGGGAACCTGCAGCGGGAACACGGACTGGGCAAGGCGGTGAGGACCCTCTCCTGGGACTCCTCCCCTTGGGGCCCCTCGAATCAGTCCGGGGTGCTGCCCTCTCGGGGCTGCCATTCCAGCCGCGGGCTTCCTAAGGCTTGTCGGGCTGAAATTCCCGCTGCGTGGGCCCCGAAGTCATTGCTCTGACTGCCCGCCGCCCTCCCCCGCCAGGCGGTGGTGAAGGCGCTGGAGCAGCTGGCCCAGCAAGGCAAAATCAAAGAGAAGATGTACGGCAAGCAGAAGATCTATTTTGCGGACCAGGTGAGGGAACTTGTGCAAATTATCGCCCGTGTGACACCCCGACACTAGGTCAGCCAGTCTCTAGAATGAACTCTCTTCTGGGGAATTTGGGGCACTCCATGAAACTCACTTGTCCTAGGTCATGAAAAGGGCCCCAGGCACCCTTTAAATCAGAGTGGGTACTCCCCTTGCTGTGACCCAGACTTAGCGAGACTTCCAGATTCGGGACAGGATAGATGACAGAAGATCCTGAATTGCTGCCGGGGAGATCCGTTCCCTCTTGGAAGTTTCTTTTTCCCAGTCATCTAGATTAGAACCACCATCTGCCACACGGTTCGCCTTCTGCCCCTACCCCTCACTCCCAACACAGGTAACGCTGATTTTGTATCTCTGGGCCAGCCCACCACTTGGATGCCTTCTAGACCTTTCTGAGTCAGTATTACTACTGCTAAGGTAGATTGCCTCATCCCCCCAAATGGGCACCTCTCCCTGCTTCTCCCTCAGTGGAGTCATGCTTCACCCAACCTAGAGACTGGGGAGCCCCTCATCTCTCTCCCCCAGTGCCCTGTTGGTTTTCCCCCTTCCTGACTCGGCCTGTCCTTTCCATCTGCATCTCCTGATACCCTCCTAGCATCTGCTGGCCTCAGAGGTCTTCCGCACGGCAGCCAGAGTGGTCTGCGTGGGTGCACAGCGAGTGCCATTGCCCGACTTCAAACTCATGCTCCCTCGAGTAGGGAAAAGGTACTAGGGAGACCCGGCCCCCGTGCCTCACTGTCCCTTCTCGGTCCACTCACCAGTACTAGAACATGTAGATGAGTTTTACTCCTGTGTCCTTCTGCCTGGAGTTTTAAAAACCCTTCTTCCTCTTCTGCCTCTTTGCTCAGCTAACTCTTACTCATCCTGTTGGATTCCCCTCAGGGATCACCTCCAGAGACCTTCCCTGAATTCTCTGATCGCCTCTTCTGCAGGCGCTCGCTTCTTTGAGGGACACGCTTGTCTTACGCGTCTCCTCGCTGGACCGCAGTCTTCCAAGGCAGGCCCCACTTCTCACCCGTATTCCTTTGCTCAGCACCCCCACCCCAGAAGCTAACATCTAGTAGACGCCGAATACTAGTTTCACTGAACCGAACCACCACCAAGGCTAATTTTCCTAAATCGGTTTCATTATGTGACAACTCTAGATTCCTTAAGGGAGAGTTTTGCAGATTTTCTTCTGTAAACAGTCAGACCCTTAATATTTTAGGGTTTTGAGGGCCAGATGGTCTCTTGTCCCAGGTACACAGCTGTGACAAGCCCTCGAGACTACCACTGGAGAGCAAAAGCCGCCCGAGACTGTGTGAAGGCACAGGCATGGCTGTGTTTCAGTCGGTGTGTGTTTTCAGAACTCCGGGTCTGGCAGGATCTGGCGCGCAGGCTGGCGTTCTTCTTCTCCATAATGTGCTCCCCATTGTCGCCGACAAGACCCCCACGGGGCCCATCCTCGGTAGCAGCTGGTCCCTCGGGGCGGGCTGCTCAGGCTTGTCCCTTCAGTACTGTCCCCGCCTCTGTCCCCGTCCCTGTTCTTCCTGCTGTGGGAACGTGTAATTCAGGTATCGCTACCTTGGGGAGAATGTTCCTCTACTCCTTTAGCCCAGTGAGCGGTCTTAGCACTAACTGAGATCTCCGCCCTGTTAGTATCCTGCCAGCCTTGATGCCCCTTGAGGACAGGCGTGAGGTTTCACTTATCGATCATACCTTGTTATAAGCTGGGACCAGTACTAAACTGAGTGGTTTCTCACAGGCCCTCTGGAGGGCTGGGGAGCCCCACAGTCTTGCATGTATGTGATGCTGTCCCCACCCCAGATGAGGTTCCCCTCCCGTGCCTCACATCAGCCCCCTTGTTTTTCCTCACCTCTGGCAGGACCAATTTGCCATGGTGAGTGACGCGGACCTCCAAGGCCTGGATGCCAAAATCGTGGCCCTCACTGCTAAGGTGCAGAGCTTACAGCAGAGCTGCCGCCACATGGAGGCTGGTAGGACTGGGCAGCCCCCAAGGGTGCCCCTAGGGTCAGGGTCGGTCTAGAGGTCAGGGATTATGGAGTGAACGGTTTGCTGGCTGCAGTGTTGTCCCACGGCAGTGATTCTCTCTGCTGGGCTGCCACAGTTACTGTATCAAAACAGAGAACGGCTAATGGCCTTTGAATGTGAGTGGGCAGGACATGCATTTGCTTTCCCTAACACCCTCAGTGCCCTGGGCCCACACTCCCTCGGTGCTGGCTGCTCTGACTGGCTCCAAGAACAGTCTGTGCAACCTCACTTTACCACTGCTGGTAGATGGAGGAGGAGAGAAAACAGGAATAAACTGGTAATTCTGTAAGCCTTCATCTCTGCTGAGCATTTCCAGAATGTGGAACTCATTCTGGACCCTGTGTGTAGAGCCGAGAGCAAGGTAGGGGTCCAGTCACTACCTCAGGGAGCACCTGCTGGGAAAGACCAAGCCCCAGCCTCGGGTAGGGAGTGACCCCGGAGAGCTGTGGTTTCAGAGCTGAAGGAGTTAACTAGTGCCCTGACCACACCGGAGATGCAGAAAGAGATCCAGGAGTTGAAGGAGGAGTGTGCTGGCTACAGAGAGAGACTGAAGAATATTAAAGCAGCCACCAACCACGTGACTCCAGAAGAGAAAGAACAGGTGAGCTGGGAGCGCGGGCAGTCATGGGCCGGGCGAGGTGGCGCAGGCTCGCAGCCTCTCGCAGCCTCAGTGGGGCTGAGGGGTTAGAGGCAGCTGTTTCCCTGCCCAGGTGTACAGAGAGAGGCAGAAGTACTGCAAGGAGTGGAGGAAGCGGAAGAGGATGGTGAGTGAGCGTGCTCCGGGCAAGCCCGAGAAACGGCAGGAGAACCCGGGACCCGACAGCGCGGCCCCTCCAGGCGGTGCTGCCCACCTGAAAAGGGGTGGTTTTGTTTCCTGTCAGGCAACAGAGCTGTCTGACGCAATTCTGGAAGGATACCCCAAGAGCAAGAAGCAGTTCTTTGTAAGTGGTTCTCTCTCCCATCCCCACTCCCCTGGGTGCTGGGTCCAAGGAGCGCTCACTCACTTGTCTCCCTGCCCCAGGAGGAAGTCGGGATAGAGACGGATGAGGATCACAACGTGAAGCTCCCAGACCCTTGAGGGGTCCACCGGCAGGACCCCGGGGGGGATGGAAAGAGAGGTCCGGCACTGGTTGGCTCCTCCAGGTTGGCTTCTGTGTTTGTTCCTGCTGCTGTCTTTGGGCAGAGCAGCTGGGAGAGGGGCAGGAGCCAGAGTATGGGGCGCGGGGAGTGAGCGAGCCCACAGCCCACGAGCAGGCTCAGGTTCCTTTTCCTGGCTACATTCCAGTTGCTTGAACTGAACGCTCCAACTGGAAACAACGCTAAAGGAAAGCATTTGGTAGTATTTATTGTAATATAATTTGATATAAAAATACTTAAATTTCCTCTGGATAACCAAACCTCCCAGATGTCAACCCTGCAGAAGGCTACAGAGTAGAGACAGGAAACTGTATATAGCAGTCAAGGAGCCCAAAGCCTTACCCAGGACTTCTTGGAGCTCTGTACCCCAGGAGGCCTTTAAATACCTTCTCTACCCCTTCACCCTGACCCCAAGTCCTGGGAGAGATGCAGGCAGCACAGGGATAGAGACCCAGATACACTTGACAGGAAGGGGGGGGAGTGGTTCTGAGGCCCAGTTTGTTTTCCAAAATTGTAAGTTTAGCAAAATTGCACTCTTGGTGTTTATTTAGAAAATTAAAAAAAAAAAAAAATTACTACGTAGTGCTGTGTGTCACACTTGACTTCTCTGTGCTGTGCTCCTGCCTGTGAGCACAGAGGGAGCAGGAGCACACAGGAAGGCCGCTTCGCTCTAGCACCCAGAGCAGGATAAGAGAGGCGATGGAGTAGTAGGTGAGGGCAGGATCCTGGCAGCCCTGCCCAGAGATGGCCAGCAGAGCCTGGGTCCCACCTTGGGCCCACCAGGGAGCCCTAGCCCAGGTACTAGGCAGCCTGTCACACTTCATGGCTGTGAGAGTATTTCCTCATGTTCCTTTCTTTCTGTCCAACTACTGCCAAAATGGCCAAACTTGGGCCAGGTGTTGCCCAAATCTGGCCCAAGAGAGCAAACCAAATGCAAACAGTAGCTCCCAGATATGTGTAGATCTGGAGCAAAAGTCTGAGGCTTAGAAGGGGATAGGACGGGAGCTCTTGGGGATGCCCAGAGCAGACCCCCACCCTGAGGATTTTTACAGGAAGGGGGGAAAGACCAGAGGCTCGAGTTTTGTGGTCAATATAATAAATTAAAGCTTTCACAAAACAAACACCCCAGCCCCACTGAGGATGAGGGGTGTCGGGGAACCAAATGCCGGGAGCCAGCGGACCTGTGTGGAGCATCGAGTCTGATCTCAGAAGGCCAGCGGCTCTGTGGCCAAGCAGGAGACTCGGGCCTCTCGCTGGCTCTTCTGTGGGTTCGGGGCGCCGGTCAGTACAGCTGGTTCTTCAGCTGGTGCAGGACACCAATCACGATCTCCCGGAGGGTCTGGTGGGGGCAGCAGAGGGAGACATGGGTGGCGCTCAGGCAAGGACAGAGCGCCGGCTGGGTGACCCGTGCCTACACAAGACGTGCTCTTTAGAATGCAACAGAAAAAGCCCCTGGGCCGCCCTGCTGTCTGCAGTTTACTCTGAAATGTCGCTGCGAGAGCACAGGGAAAGGGATGGAGGCGTGGCTGGCTATGTGGAAAAGCAAATGCAAGAAACGGAAACGGTAGCATTCAGGTGTGGGCTTGGGAGCGTTCGGGACATACTGTGCTTCAAGTGTTCCCAGAAAATGTCAGGAAACAAAAAAGTGGGACTCTCCGGATGCAAGTCCAGCAGAAAAGGCAGAAAAGGCAACCAGGCCTCAGGAGCACAAGAGTCCGGCAACAGCATTCACACGCTGCCCCGTTACAAAGAACACAAGCGCTGGAGCAGACTCCTCCCGCGGGCCTGGGGGTGGCGGCCAGCAATCTTCCAGATGGGCCGAGTGAATCTGCTGCCGCAGTGAGGGCGACGCACGAGGCAGCCACACGTGGGCTGAGAAGGGCCAGGGTTGGGCCCATGGGATTTAAGTGCCCGATCAGTCCTGCCAAATGAAACCTTACAGGAAAATCTGGGCTAAGAAGCCGAGGAGGGAGACACCCCCCAAGAAACCTGAAAGCTGCTGCTGCCTCCTCCTCTGGACAATTTCGGACTTGGGCCACTTTGCCAGGAGGAGTGTCCCCCCCGCCCCCACCAGCCCATGATCACGGCTACCCCTTACCTGAGGCTTACAGTGCTCCTCAACCCAGCTGAAGACACAGGCTGACAGCTCCTGGAAGCTGGCCACGGAGACGGAGGCATGGAAGGTCTGGAACAGGGAGTCCATGATGCCTTGAAACACATTGAACTTGACCTGGTCAGAGACCTGGTCCTCCCCCTCATGGGGGTTGTCCTGGTGTGCCTTCACAATCTGCTCGTAGTTCCTGAAATCGAGGAGTGAACAGGGCTCAGGGGCCCGAGGTTCTCCCCCAGGAAGGGGCTCCTGGAGAGCTGCTGCAAGGTAGTCCACATCAGCCAGACACTGCTCCGGGACAGAAATGGTGACCCCCCTCTCCCCACCCTTCCCTTCATGAAGCCCACAGGCACTTTGAGAACATGCTGTGCGTTAGGGACACGGGGGTACAGAGTCCAGCCTCCAAGCGGCCACCTAAGGGAGTGAGGGGATTATCTGGCCTGTAGTATCAGATGTGGCCTTTGAATGAGAAGAAGGTATGAACTGAGGTCTGCCCGAGTCCCCTCAGAAGCCCTGGTTCACCCAGCTCAGTGTCACCCTTACACTTTCATGATCTTCAGGGCTGTGACATCCTTGCGTAGCATGGACACTTCCTCCTCCTGCTTTTTCTTCTCCTTGTGCAAAAACTGGATGTAGTCAATGGCTGGGATGGGTGGGGGTGGGCACAGAGGAAGTCTCAACCAGAAGGACAAGGCTGACTTTTTCTCCCCCCGCCCCGCCATCCCACTCCCCACCTGCCCCATAACCACCACCCCACCAGGGCCAGGCCGAGAGTGGGTAGAAGGCTCTGGCCTCTTCACTGCCCTGCTGGCCTCAACCACTCCCAGGGCTCTCCCTGGTCATACTCTTCTGTAGAACGATGGCTTTGCTGAGCTTTTGGGAACCAATGGAGAAGTCCTGCTGCTGGCAAGTGGGGACGATTGTCTGAAGGTCATCATAGCCTCTCTGTGGAAACATCAGGGGAAACAAGGCTTCCTTTAACTCTGCGGATTAAGGCAAACTCACCAAGCTTTCTCTTCAAGAACTGAGTTCCATGCTCAAAACTCAAACAGGTGGGGGTGGTGGAAGGAGGGTGTTCTCATCCAGAGACGATATTAGCTGCCCACAAGGATGCCTGGTGCTGTCTGATGAGGTCGGGGCAGAGCGAATCAAATGTAATGGGCCTTCCTGCGCTGGCTGAGCTGCGGGCCCCCCAGTCACCTTGATGGCATCTCTCCTCTTCTGCTCAGCCTGCGTGTGTGCTCGCCGCCGCCGGTCCTTATAGGACTCCTTGTAGGACTCCTGGTGGTAATCGCTGTCCTCGTCATCTACACTCAAAGTTGGGGGCGGGAAGAGGTCATTTTGAGGCCCAGTGGGGCCCAGCTCACCCACCGTGCCCCAGTGGGAAAGGAAAAACTGGTGCCTAGAGACAGCAATGGACAGAACAACCTAAGGTCCTAGATGAGGTGAGAGACAGTGAGAGCCTGTGTCTATCACTAGTTCTCCAGCACCCCCATGTGGGTGACTGGAGCTTCCTGTCTGGGAAATACACTAAAATGATGGTGTAACTGAGTCCCCCCAGGTCGGGGCATGTTGCTGCCTACCTGTATTGGGGACGGAAGAGGCACTGGTGGAACCGATGCTATTAGCTCTGGACACTACACTCCCCTTTCGGGTACTTTCTACAAAAAGCCCTGGAAAAGAGAGGTCCCAATCACTAAGGGGTAAGGCAGGGGAACACTATATTAGACCCTGAGAAACCTGTGGGTACAGTGGCTTCCTGATCCTTAAATCTGACCTCTCCCTTTCAACCCAAAAGCCACTCATACTGGGGCACCCATTTCCTGTTTGTGCCATGCTGCAATGCTCCTGTCCCTGATTTCCACAGTGCTCCATGGGCCTGTAATGGTACCACTGGATCACAAAATGGCATCTGGGCACAATGAGGGTGAGAGAGTGGCCAGCTATCACTGCTGTCACTTCCCTGCTTCAGAGCAGAGGAAACCAGCTGTACCCTTATGCTTCCTGCCCCGGTCCTGCAGCTCCTCCCTGTCTCAGGGCAGGAACTCGGCTCAGGGACAGTGGACTGTGCTCAGGTGTGGCTGGCAAGACCACGGGAATCTATAGGGCTGCAGCGGGAGGGTCATGAGGGAGCTGGGGATAGTGGGGAGGCACTCACCGGGGTCCAGACTGTTGTCGCTGTAGGCGTATTCCACCTGCAGCACCAAGCAAAGGAAGCTCATCGGACCTCGGCCCAGGGTCCGCACCTCCTTTCATTGCGCGTGCGCGCGCGCGCGCGCGCGCGCGCGCACACACACACACACACACACACACACACACACACGTCCTACCCACCCCCACCCCCCAAGGTACGCAGGCAATTTCAGGATGCACGCGTGCGCGCACACACACACACACACACACACACTCTCTCTCTTTCCCCTGGGGTGCGCAGGCGACTGCAGGACTGCCCCGGGAGCCAAGAACGGATAGGCCATGGGAGCGCCTCCCCTCCGCAGGACCGCGTCTGCCCCTACCCACGCTCCAGCACCTCCCCAGCCCCCAAACCCTGCCCCCACACACACTCGTGTACACACGCGTCACTTGTCTCCCCACCTTGGCACGCGCGGGGTGAGAGCTGTCTTCTCTGCAGCCCCGGGGCCCGGAGGGCGGGGGGACCTTTAGGGACTGCAAGGAATCCCCTCGTCTTCCGGCCCCCCCACGTGCACGAGCCCGACCCGCCCTCCCCTCGTCGGCGTGCGCGCCCGCGGGGCTTGCCTTGACCCATGGGTCGTCCGGAGAGGCGCCCGGCTCTGTCATCTCCGACCCACCAGACCGGAAACCAGCCCGCGGGCGGGCCCCCTGCCGCGAGGAAGCGGCGAGGCGCACCCACGTGACCCAAACCCACCAACCCAAGGACGGGAGGCGGAGGGCGGGGCGAGCGCATGCGCAGCCCAGAAACACCGAAACCGTGGACCAGAGCCGCTGGCGTCGCAGCGGAAACCGGTAGCGTTCCTGTTGCCGCGACGTGAATCATTCTGTAAAATGGGGTCCCCTCAAAAGGCTCGTCCAGTGTCGCCGATAGTCG